GGATATGCGGAGCAAATCCATCTGGCGGAGTCAGGTTAGGTAGGTGTTAGCAACATTTTTGTTGGTAAAGTTCGCGTTAAGAGGAATTGAACCGGACTTTAACTGAAGACAATTGACCTGTAAAGCGCAGTGTAAAAAGAAAGGAGAAATTGAAAAAATAAAATAAAAACATTTGGGGGAAAAAAAAATAAAATCAAAGTAGTTTCCCAATGTTTTATTGTCATTACACCGTCACAAGTACAGCACAACGAGATTCGCTCTTTGTATTTAATCCCCTTGGGGAGCAGTGGGCTGCCATTTTCGGCGGCCACTGTGTGCCCTAACCACTAAGCCACTGTTCCCCCAAAACAATATCAGAAGTGGGATCATGAAAATGTTCCTGTTTTGTTTTCTAGAATGTATATTTTGAGCTCAGTCCATAGAGTTTGTGTTTTCTGCTGTGAGGAGGAGGACTTTCATGGGAGGAATCTGATACCTTGTGGTCGGCGATGACATCGTTTGTTGTGGTGGGGCTGGGCGTCTTCCTGGAGTCGCTCCAGTCCTGAAACTTCTCCTTGAACAGGGTGGTCTCGTTGTGTTGAGTCAGTCGGCCAAACACGGCCCAATCCGGCCGGCCTTGGCCTTTTCTAACACACGGACGACGACAAAGTCCGTTAATTTAGTCACAGAAAAGGAACCGTTTAAGCTTCTGACACTTTTTGATATTAAAGGCGCACATCTTATTGAGATTTTAGGACAGAGTGATTTTAAAAATTATAACTGCAGTTTCAAACAATAACACACAAAAAAAGTTGCAACCATTTCTTTTCTTTTTCCAGTGACTCCATCCTTTCACATCAATAGTAATTACAATGACTAATTAGCAATTAGAATTTGACTTAACGCTACATAAACCAGCTGTTTTTTATGTTCTTTTATAAAAAAAACAGTTTAGGACAATAACTTATCTATTCCATGATAGGATAGACCAAAGGGATTTTCTTCTGCTCACAAAAAAATTTATTTAAATAGATATTCACTACTAGGGGTGTAAATCACATCCATCATGGCGATTCATTTCATTATCTATTTCCTGATCCAACGATTCGATTATTTTCGATACTCAAGAATACACCACAATGTGATTCGATTAATCGATTAATTTTTATTTATTTTTATTTTTTTAGACCTTACAGGCTAAACAAAGTTTCAAGTTTGAAATAAATCAATGACCCTTTTTCCACCTGGATCTCCGCTCTTTTTGGCCCTCATGTCCCTCCGTCGTCAGACTAAACTCGCCCCCACTTCCTCACCGCCTCGGCCGTATTTAGACCCACAGCGTGTAGCTCAGACCACGCTTCAATATTGAGCATAAATAAAAAATGTCTGCATCAAGCTCACTGCAACACACTGCTGTAAGAGGATAACCAGGAAGCGAGGTAGGGGGGCAAAATAGGTTTAGCGCCACCGCAGCACGGGAGGGAGAATTACGCCCAGGAGCAAATGGATAAAAATAGACCGGAGGAAAAAATAAATAAAATCGATTATCTTGCGGACGTGTCGATGCATCGGATCGTCGGCTGTTGGATCGATGCATCGATACAAAACGATTATTATTTACACCCCTATTCACTACGTTTTATTTTTTTTTAGTAACATTTGACACTGGAAACTTTCTTTGTATTTAAGTAAAAATGTGTCTCCCTGATGCCTGCAGATCAGCTTCTCTGATTGGTTGAGTAACAGATGTTCAGAATTGATGGCCGATTGAAAGATCATAACACTGATGCTGGAAACGCATGGTCTAAAACTTGAGTGTCCAACAGAGACCTTGCATGTAAACCTGATGTTCAGTCTGAATGCAGCATGAGTAAAGAGGAAGGATGTATGGGTACGGACATCCTGCGAATTTTTCCATACTTCGGAATGAGTACGTTGCACTCTCCTGGGTCCAGCGGGTTGATGTCACAGTTAGTGTAGTCGAAGGTGCCGTTCCAGAGGTGCTTGGCCAGCTGGAAGGCGACCTTCCTCTGAGCTAGCGTCACTTCCTTCCCATGCCAGATGTACATCTCACTGCCAAAGTCAAACACCAAAACCTGCCGCAGACAGGGTGAGCTCTCATCACCAGAAAAAACAAACCAAACACCTCTGCACTTTGATTTATCAACATATAATCTAATTAGAATCCTAATCCAACCTCTTTGGGATTGAGCAGAGTGCAGCGGGGCATCCTGGCCCAGAAGTCATCGTCTGGGACCAGCTTGTCGTTCATCAGGCGGTAAATGCAGTTCGTCTCCACGATGGCTGCTTCGTACAGCTCGTCTTCATCCGGGGTTCCTGCTGCTGCAGGATGAAGAGCAAAACGACTCGGTTTGTCTGGTTAATCTCAGGAGGAGGGGTTCTCCTCTGGAACAGACTTATTCCTGAACTCACACTGATAATCTGCCTGTCCTCCGAGACACTTCCAGAACTCCTGGACAGCATGGCTTTGTGTGCCGGCGCCTTCGTCTATCATCTGGACGTATTCTGCTCGGCAACCCAAATCTCTCTTGCTCTGGATGAAGTTGGCCAACTCTGACGCCTTCAAGTGGAGGGATGATTATCGTCCACGCAGCAGGCAGTGATCGAAGCTCTGCGGCCCAATTCTTACCTTGCTTTTCTCTATGACGTTGGCGAACTCCCCGATCCAGACGAAGCAGTGGTGCGGAGTGACGAGCAGGAAGCAGTCTCCGCTGTTCAGAGAGGACGCTCTGGGCTCCACCAGCCGGACCTGGACGTGTCGTCTCCCTGGTTTCACATAAACACAGACAGGTGGCTTATCAGTGGCTACGCTGCTACTCATCGCCAGGATTATCACACCAGAACCATCAGGCCCACATGGCGTGAAGCGACGCTGTAAATATGACAATTTATAGAGCTTAAACCTGATGGAAGCCAGTGGTCTAAATTTGAAGCTGTGAAAGTTTGAGCTAACAGAGTAGCGCCTGTGCTGCTTTGGAGCTGATTGGGATTACGGACGTGGGGCTTTGGGGGATCAGAGCCGCCCAGGACGGCGTGAGGTGACCTGGGGAGAATCATTTAAAGCCACAGCTGTTAACAACAGACGCCTATATAAGGCAAGCCCCATCACTCCTTTACGTATCATCTGAAAACGACAGTAACGACCCTTTGAGGTCAATACGTTTAAGGTTTATGGTACCAAAGCTAGCAAGAGTTCTCAGTCCTTTAGGCCTATTTATGAAAGAAAAAAAAGAAAAGTGTTTATAGCAGATAATAAAAGACCTGGAAGAAAAGTAGGATGTTTATATAGATGAATCAACCTGAGCAGCAGGCCAAGCGGATGCTATCAGTGCAGGTTTATTTGTGCATTCAGAGCCACATCCTGGCTTGGCTGACCTTTGACCTGAAGCAGCATGAGCTTCTTGTATGGCACGGCGCTGTTGTTGGACGTCTGCTCAGAGACCCTGACGCTTCGCAGGTTGACGCTGCTGAAGTTCTCCTTGCTTGCCAAACCGGCCAGAGCCACTTCAGAAAACCCAGAGTTCTTGTTCACTGCAGAGAACAAAGCAGAGACATTGGATAAAGCAGTATGAGACAAATCCGTGTA